CAAAATTGTTCATTATTGTTTTACAAACCGAAGCAAAATTACTGAGAATTTACTATACTTTTTAATACTGCTATTTTTCACCTATATGCTATCACCTATATGCAACAGAAACAAAGGGACGAACGACAAAGAATTGAAGGACGTGGGACGAAAATTAAATGTCGAAGCTGAAGCTCTAAATGCTTTTCGCAAGGAAACATATAAATAGGCCTGTTATGCCTCTCGAGACGTCATGGACGAAAAAAATGGAGAAGAGTAGGAACGAGGTCGGCTATTCTCTCCGCCATGTCTTCTCTCGCGACAATGCAAACTTTTGCATCGAATACGAGGTTACCCGCTCGTTCTGGATTGATCATTTCCAGCGAGGAGAGCCAGGCAGGGTCTCGGGGCTTCGTTTTTTTTGTACGTTGCTCGACGCCGTCGACAAAAGTCTTCAACAGTGCAAAGCGGCTCGGCGGATTTTTTCATTGAAAAGAAACGGGCTGCCCGTTATATCGAATGCCGTCGAATAAGTTTCGCTGTCGTCGCTCGGTTGGCGAATTGGTCGCGCGGATACTTACGCGAACTCCGACTTCTATGCAGAAATTTTAGCTTTATCATTGACAACGAACCTTGTTCTCGTTCAATGAGATTTCCACGAATTCGAGACAATGCTCCCCCGTTCCGCGGACGCTTTGTTATCTTAGACGGTTTCCTCGCGATTTTCGACGACTTCGTTTATTTGCGTTCGTTCGAACCGGGAACCCGGCGGGCAACGATTGTTTGAAAATTATTCGCGGGAGAGATCAGCGACAATGTTTTGTTCATTATCGAACTTGAAGTGAAAGAAATGATTTTTAAGAAGGGATACGCGATTGAAGGATTTCAGTTTTTCGTTGCAGAGGAGAATTATACGATTAATCGGAAATTGTTTGCGTTGACGAAAATTATTATTAGAAAATTATTATTAGACTGCTTTTGTGCGTTAATTCGAAATTAGGCAAGTGAAACGCAAAGCAATGAAGACGTAGAAAGAATTTACGAATATTTTTAATATTTTTACACTATTTTCAATCCCCTTTTTCTTTGCATATCGACGTCACTAATGTTCAACTACTTAGATCGTGGAATTACTTTTTTATAGTAATATGTTGAACAAACTGAATGTTACTAGGATTTTTCGTTTAATTCTGTCAATGTACCAACGTGTTGAAAAAATGATTTTTCAATGTTTAAAATTCATAGTTTTAGAGAAGAGAGCAGCAAGAGAAATAAAGAGAGAAATAAAAATGTCGCAACGAAAAATTGTGTTGAAATTAGCACAAAAACTGATTAGGGATGCTCCGAAAAAATAAATTGAAACAATTATTAGTTAAATCGACCGAAAGCAGTTTAATAACAATATAACCGTGGTTCGATATGCATTTATAGTTTATCGCAACATTTCTAAATACAAAGAAACGCGTTCGTTGACAGAAATGACATATTCCTTTATTTCTTATTTCCTATTTTTCACTCGTTTACATATTCTATTTCCACCAGAAAAAATTCCACTATTTATCTATTCGACAATAGTAAATATTCCTTCCTCTAATTTCCGTGAAATAATTCATAGAAATGGAAGTTTCTGTAAAAACGACCGGTGCAGTTAGCAACATGAATAACGCATAGAAATAAGAAGGAAAGCTCACCTGTCCTGAAGTTGACGACAATGTCTATGAGGAATATCGTGTCGGAAAGGCAGTTGAAGGCTATCCACCTAGTGCTTAGGTCGTCATTGAAAAAACTAATGGCGACTGGCAGAATTATCAGATTCGCTACCAGCAGGAGGAGCATGCAGAGGTCCCAGTAGAATCTGCAATCAAAAACCACCCGCGACGATTAATTCAGTCTCATGAATATATTTAAAAAAAAAAATTACAGATTACATCACGGTTATCGCATATCTTACTGAACCATTAAATCGCGGAATCCCCAAATTTTAATTAAAAACGATTCGCATCGCGTCGAGTCTCTGCAGCGCGGGAATCATCGATGCAATGACGGATGGAACGACGGCGGTGCAGCAGCTTTCTAGTTCGAAATTCGATCGATTCGCTCGTCCGAATAAACCGGACGGTGTACAACGCGTTCCGCGTTGCGGCGGCTTAACCCTTCGCACTCGAGTGGTGACCCCGGAGCACCGATGAAAACGTTATGTCGCATTCCGAGATGATTTTAACAATTTATCGTCCGGTCGTGGTTGAGGCTGCCACTCAGTAAGGACTGGCTTAGTCGCGCGCGCATTTGCTCCCAGTACCGGCTAAATTTTCGCTATTCATTGTGTTGTGCTTATTCCTTTAAAAATAATAATAAATAATAATAATTATTATAATTATAATTCATAAGGATATGGGGAGGTCAGCATACAGGAGGTCAGCTACTAACAAGACAGTAAAGAAGCGAAAACCGTCGATAGCTAAAAGTCGATTAATAGGCTATCGGTCGATAAGCATTGGCAATCGAAAAGCCGATTAATAGGCTAACGATCGATGAACATTGGCAATCGAAAAGCCGATTGATAGGCTAGCGATCGATAAACATTGGCAATCGAAAAGCCGATTAATAGGCTAGCGATCGATAAACATTGGCAATCGAAAAGCCGATTAATAGGCTAGCGATCGATAAACATTGGCAATCGAAAAGCCGATTAATAGGCTAGCGATCGATAAACATTGGCAATCGAAAAGCCGATTAATAGGCTAGCGATCGATAAACATTGGCAATCGAAAAGCCGATTAATAGGCTAGCGATCGATAAACATTGGCAATCGAAAAGCCGATTAATAGGCTAGCGATCGATAAACATTGGCAATCGAAAAGCCGATTAATAGGCTAGCGATCGATAAACATTGGCAATCGAAAAGCCGATTAATAGGCTAGCGATCGATAAACATTGGCAATCGAAAAGCCGATTAATAGGCTAGCGATCGATAAACATTGGCAATCGAAAAGCCGATTAATAGGCTAGCGATCGATAAACATTGGCAATCGAAAAGCCGATTAATAGGCTAGCGATCGATAAACATTGGCAATCGAAAAGCCGATTAATAGGCTAGCGATCGATAAACATTGGCAATCGAAAAGCCGATTAATAGGCTAGCGATCGATAAACATTGGCAATCGAAAAGCCGATTAATAGGCTAGCGATCGATAAACATTGGCAATCGAAAAGCCGATTAATAGGCTAGCGATCGATAAACATTGGCAATCGAAAAGCCGATTAATAGGCTAGCGATCGATAAACATTGGCAATCGAAAAGCCGATTAATAGGCTAGCGATCGATAAACATTGGCAATCGAAAAGCCGATTAATAGGCTAGCGATCGATAAACATTGGCAATCGAAAAGCCGATTAATAGGCTAGCGATCGATAAACATTGGCAATCGAAAAGCCGATTAATAGGCTAGCGATCGATAAACATTGGCAATCGAAAAGCCGATTAATAGGCTAGCGATCGATAAACATTGGCAATCGAAAAGCCGATTAATAGGCTAGCGATCGATAAACATTGGCAATCGAAAAGCCGATTAATAGGCTAGCGATCGATAAACATTGGCAATCGAAAAGCCGATTAATAGGCTAGCGATCGATAAACATTGGCAATCGAAAAGCCGATTAATAGGCTAGCGATCGATAAACATTGGCAATCGAAAAGCCGATTAATAGGCTAGCGATCGATAAACATTGGCAATCGAAAAGCCGATTAATAGGCTAGCGATCGATAAACATTGGCAATCGAAAAGCCGATTAATAGGCTAGCGATCGATAAACATTGGCAATCGAAAAGCCGATTAATAGGCTAGCGATCGATAAACATTGGCAATCGAAAAGCCGATTAATAGGCTAGCGATCGATAAACATTGGCAATCGAAAAGCCGATTAATAGGCTAGCGATCGATAAACATTGGCAATCGAAAAGCCGATTAATAGGCTAGCGATCGATAAACATTGGCAATCGAAAAGCCGATTAATAGGCTAACGATCGATGAACATTGGCAATCGAAAAGCCGATTGATAGGCTAGCGATCGATAAACATTGGCAATCGAAAAGCCGATTAATAGGCTAGCGATCGATGAACATTGGCAATCGAAAAGCCGATAAATAGGCTAGCGGTCGATAAAGTGTTAATATTGTGAGAGTTTAACTTGAGAAGATCGTTGATCGTGTAACTGTCGTACGAATCGCGAAGACTCGGTTTCATACGCGTGAAGTGCGCTTTGTCGCGTAAAATGGAAACACTGCAAGTCAGAAAAAGTGTTTCAGATTTACAATGAGAATAGCTCCGAGTGCGAAGGGTTGATTTTCCGCGTGCACGCACGAAAGTATCGCGCACCAGATATCACGCCCTCTCTCGATCTCGGCCGGCCTGGAACGACCTCGCGGAATCATTAGGTCATAGAGAGTCGGCGATGGATAAAGAAAACAGCGATTCATCGCAGCCCTGGCAGAAGATTCCCGCGGAATTCGGGCCGCAAGGCGGAAACACGCGCGCCGCGTTTTCCCTGCCCGAAGACACGCGGAGAACACACTAGGCGAAATTGTGTCGGGGTTAGGTCTCGTTCCCTTCAAGGTCGCTCGTTTAATTAGTAAGCTCGCGGCTCCTGTCCCGGACCTGCTTTCAATCCGCTCGCATCACTTTGAACAATGCTCGCGGGTTTAACCCGAGAAAGATAACCTACGTCGCAGAGGCGCCTGCGAAGACTGTTGATTTTTGTTAATTTTTCATGGAGGTCTAGTGATTTAAGTTTAAAATATAAAATATAAAAATTACTTAAAAATTACTTAAATATAAAAATTACTTAAATTACTTAAAATATAAAAAAATATAATATAAATGCATTTTATTTTGACAATAATGCCAAACCTTTAAAATGACTAGATTAACTTAAATAAATATCCATTGTTAGTATAAAATTGACGCCTTAGAAAAGCATGCGCCTCTGAAGCGTATGGTTATCTTTTACGTACGTTGTCATATGGTTATCTTTCTAGGGTTAAAAAGGCCGCGGGACAGGCCTCGGACAATTTTTTGGAGACCGCCGCCTACGCCCTCCAGAGCCGGCCTACGACCATAATCGGCGCGCGTTCGTCGAATTTCGCCAATTTTCCAGCGGTTTTAATCAATTACGACCAATTCCGACTAGTTTCTATCAGTGTACGCTAATGCGAACCTGTCTCGGCTAGTTCTTGCCAGTTCTCATCTGTTAGAGGCGTCTTTAACCACGTTTAACCCTGTAACGGGATACCCATGTACGGGGTGTCTCGAAGATTACGCAGGCGGTTACAGCGAAACGCGATATTCTTCGTGTTTGCGCAAACAGAGGTGACAATTGCGAGACTGTAGCTTCGATGCGGACGGGTTATTCGTGGAAAATTGTGGACGATCTGCTAGAAACGACTGGTAATTATTATTGCGATATAATGTTTATTGTTGTAGCCTCGCGGATAATTTTTATAGTCGCCGATTGTCGACGATTATAAGAAATACAGTAAATATGAAAATAGAATATAAACATAAGAATATAAGTAAATAAATTTTCGGTTTTCGTCATGCCAAACGATAGTAAAATTTAAAAAAAAAGAAAACTAGTCTCTCTCTAACATCTCCAAACAAATTCGTCGTTTACAGCAGTTTTAAAAATAGCTTGCATCGTTTTAAAAGGCGTCCGAATACTTTTCTTCTTACTCACTGTACAATTACAGCTGTTACAATTGTTGTAATTAAACCTAAGCGATTGACTTCGAAGAATCAAATCAATAAATTTCATTCCTGAAATATTGTTCACTTGAATCATTAGAATTATTTAGAATTTCTTCGTGCTATCGGAAAATTACGAATTCCGATAAAAAAATTACGAGATCAAAAAGACCGTTGTATAATTAATAGTTAAAAATAAAGTACATCGAGTGCGCTGGTAGCCCGATTGCCGTTAAATTAAAACGGGTCTCCGTTAAATTAAAGTCAAGCTAAACATAAACCCCGTCGAACTTTTTGGTTGCCAGCGACACCGACGTGCTCCCTGCGTCAATCTCGGAAAGGCCTCCGCGTCGGATAGCCGCGTAATTAAGGTCCCCAGGGTGCAAGGTTTGCGGCCTGGAGAAAAACGAGTCCGAGGCAAGGAGCTCGGAAGACGCGGCAAGACGCGGGAAGCTCAATTTCTAAAAGCTCCGCTTTAATCAGTTCGATTCCAGGCCGAGCCGGCAACATTGGCCCACTTCGCCGAGTAATAACGTTGCTACATCGGGGCAATAAATGTGCTTGTAGCTCGCATGAAGCTACTCCGAGCCCGGGTCGTTTCGACTCGCAAGCTTGCACGGGATGACGGTGTACGAAAGCCGTGAAGAGAGCTTCTTCGCGAGCACGCACCGATGAACGGCGAGCCTTTCGCGGCTCCACTTGCCGCGACACCTTCATGGCTAAGTCTGGAGTAGTTGTTTGCCCACCCACAGCCCCCCACCCATCTTCCTGTTAACACTTTTCACGCACCCTTGCCCCGTGCAATTTCCTACGACTCGGTTCTCTCGTCGTCTCCGACTACAATTTCCATCGGTTGTCGCGTTTACTGGCTTCGGTTAATCAAGAAGTATTGAACTGCACGTCTACCATATGCGTTTTAGTCATTTCCCACGATTGTCACGTTTTATAAGTGAAAATCTGCTGAATTCCTAGGTGCACAATTTCGAGTGACAGTCTCTGTAAATAACTAGTTATGTCGAGTATTGGTTAACCGTGGGAAATAAGGACATTATACAGCGTTTCCTAAAATTATGGTACCCCCGAAAAATAAGAGATTCCTGAGATCATTTTAAGC